CTAGCCCAGAATTTTAATGGTGGAGGGTTTCCACAATAGCCGTGTCATTGAACATTAAGTGAGATAGTTAAGTATTCTGTTGTTGGAGATAATCATTGCCTGGCATTTGCCTGTACCCTTGTTATACTCCCTTACTGTGGTTCTGCTTCAGCTCACATGCTGGAACTCTTATCCATGCCTTTGTTCCTATTTAGAATTGGCTAAGAACGTGTTGCAACAGTGAGCTTCCCACATACTATTCTTCATAAGTGCAATCATTCAACATTGCTGCTTTTGTCATGACTTGCACCAAGTCCTGTTCATTCTTTACTGCATTGTCTTCCAACTAACAACAATTGGATTTGAAATTCTCATCTTTCTTTTCAAAACTCTTGCCCCTTCCTATCTCTGTAACCTTCTCTAATCCCCCAAAGGATGCGCTGGTTTTCCAGCCCTGCCCTCCTGGAGATCCACAGGTTTACTATTCAGACAGACTGGTTTTGCCGTTAGAGCTGAGGTACCAGGGTCTGCGGTGGTGGTGCTGTCAGTTTAACTGGAACTGTAGCCCAGCCATTGGGACAGGATTGTGAAAGGACAGCTGAGAAACAAGGAGAGAGGGTAGAGGGGGTACCATTGCTAACAAACAACAAATTGCCTTCACTTAGTGCCTTTAACATAGTAAATTGCCCCAAGGAGCTTACAGCAGTGTTTACACGAAGCAAAATTTGATACAGTCCTATGTAAGAATAAATTTAGGGAGGAAATTCAAGAACTTAGAATTCAGGCAACTGAAGGCACAGGCTGCCAACGGTGGGCAAGGCAAATCTATAATGTGCAAGAGGCCAGAGTTGGAGGATTGCAGAAATCTTGGAAACAATTGCAAATGGTTGGTCTATTGACAAAGAACCCATTGTCTCGAGGAGGTATGTGCTCTTTTCTTCCAGCTGCGCAGCACAGGGAGAGCTGGCTGTGTGCGCTCAATCAGATTTGAGATTGTCTGACGACACCTGAAATGGAATTGACAAGGTGGGGAGTGATCGCAAGGTTAATTTGTTGAGCTCCTGTTAATTGTCAATATCTTGATTAAAGCTAAATCCCCAGGCACATTCCCCAGAGTAAAATAGTACTGCCAGTATCGAGCAATGAATGGTGTGTAAGTACTCCGTAACTACCAACAAAAGCTTAAGAGTGAACTAAGCTTACTTCCTCCTTCAAAACAACAACAATCAGCAGCATATACTTGGTTTGATACCTATCTCTAACTCACGGTCGCTATCTTGCTGGACAATTCAAATGAAGAATGCAGAATACTTTAGCACTGATCCCTATTGTTTGTTTGAAAATCCTGTGCATTTGAAATAATGCAAAGGTATTGTCTGCTTACCTTGTGTAAACATATGGATCTGTACATGCACGTGTGTAGTGAGTATCCATGTGTGTGTGTTGGGGGGTGGGGGGAGTGGGATGGATGTAGCCTTTGTAGTTTGTGTGATTGAAGAGCACTGTTTACACTGGAATACTCATTCTCTGCCTTTCCACTTCCCGGTGTGACTAATGTCTGTGGCAGTGTTTATTTTATTTCATTCTTTGGTCCTCATAGCCAGCCTCTGGAGGTCAAAGCTACCAGCCTACTTAAGGAGTTGGGAGCTCTCAGCCTTTCCTGGTTTCGAGCCAAGTGACCATTCTGTGTGTGTGGGCTTGGGTGGAGAGTGTCGGCGGGATATTTGTTCTTGAAGGACATCAACAGCGACAATGTTAATTTACATTTGCATAGCAACTTCAATGTAAAGGAGGTCGCAAGATGTCACGGGAGCATTTGTCAAGCAAATATTAACAGTGAATCACATTGAGTTATTACGAATGGTGACTGAAAATTTCTCCAAATATTTAAAGAATATCACAAGGGAGAGTTTTAGGGAAGGAACTTCAGGGTTTAGATTCAAATAGCTGAAATATTGGCAAAGGGGTGGAAATCCAAATTGTTGAGTGGACTGAATTGGAGGACAATAGAGATCTCAGAAGGTCTTAGTGAGGGGGGACTTGAACAGTCTCTCAACATGTTGCAGAGCTGGGAGCCAATGTAGCTTGGTAATTATCAGTGAATGGGGTTGGGCTGATTTAGGACACAGACAGCATTGCTTTGGATGAGTTCCACTTTGCAGAAGGTGAAAAATGGGAAGCCAGGTAAACAGACTATTGAAACATCCTGTCTTTACTCAATCCTGTGATTTTTTTGCAGGAGTCACTGGTAGCAAGCATCTGAGATGATGGAACTCAGGACCATTCTGTTGGTACAGTCCAACGTTTTAAACTGTGGATCACAGAGATCTGTTCTCTATTTTAATAGAGCGCTCTACCAACAGCAATGGATGCTGGGATAGCATGAGCTAGATTGCTGTTTCTAACTTTTTTCATACTCCAGAGAGAGGAAACATCCCAAAATCTAACTGCTTGGTTTGGAGACAGAAAAAAAGGGAAGGGAGGAGTAGAGGAAGGTTGTAATAATTCCACTCAGCTGACCCCTGCAGTCCATTTGATGATGTGTTTGCTGCTGTGTTTATGCCTGGCATTGACGGATACCTCAGCTCATGTTCTGTGACAGGAATTGTCTCACCCAGGATTTATTCACTGGTGACACTCCGAAGGAATGCTTGGTCAGGACAATAACAAATTCAAACCAAAAGAACTGCAGATGCTGTAAATCAGGAACAAAAACAAAGTTGCTGGAAAAGCTCAGCAGGTCTGGCAGCATCTGTGGAGGAGAAAACAGAGTTAACGTTTCGGGTCCAGTGACCCTTCCTTAGAACTGAGAATGTGAATAACAAATTCACATGAACATTTTTTTTGGAAATGTTAAGGAAAGAATGGACTTGCATTCAATTAGCACCTGCCTGGTCTCAGGAATTATGAAAATAGCCAAAAGTTTTTTATACGCTTTTCAAATGTAGACAGTTTTGTGATTTAGGATAGATGACTGGACGATCTGTTTTTAGGTGATGGGAGAAAAGTATTATTCTAGGACAGAATTCCGCTGCCCTTCAAACAGTTCCACAGAATCTTTACCTTCTATCTGAAAAGGCAGAGAGAACTTCAGTTTGTCACCAACCTCGGACTGTGCAACACTCCTTCAGAACGTGGCTTTCTTTGATTTGCTGTAGAAAAATCGGTGTAGTGCATCCCAGGACAGATTTACTCCATTGCTCTTAGAATCCTTGTAGTGCGGCAAGAGGCCATTCGACCCATTGAGTCTGCACTGACCCCCCAAAGAGCATCCCAATAATTTGATTAGCTCTTTCTAACTGCCAGCTGACACATGCAGGGCCAAATGTCCTCCTTCTGTGCTATGTTACTCCGATTCCACTGTTGCTGACTTGCTGTGCTCATTGGCTCCACCCAGTGGCAGTGACTGCTGATCGTTGAGGAGTTCTGAGGAAGGGTCACTGGACCTGAAACGTTAACTCTGTTTTCACCTCCACAGATGCTGCCAGACCTGCTGAGCTTTTCCAGCAACTTTGTTTTTGTTACTGCTGATCATTGAATCGTTATAGTGTGGGGAGCAAAATGACTAAATAAATCAGATTTGGAGCCAGAGTCAGAGAGATGTACAGCATGGAAGCAGTCCCTTCGGTCCAACTCATCCATGCTGACCAGATGTCCAATATAAATCTAGTCCCATTTGCCAGCATTTGGCCCATATCCCTCTAAACCTTTCCTATTCATATACCCATACTGATGCCTTTTAAATGTTGTAAATGTACCAGCTGCCACCACTTCCTCTGGCAGTACATTCCATACACGCACCCCCTCTGTGTGAAGAGGTTGGCCAATAGGACCCTTTTAAATCTTTCCCCTGTCACCATAAACCTATGCCCTGTTGTTTTGGATTCTGCCACCCCAGGGAAAAGACCTTGTCTATTCAATTTATCCTTGCCCCTCATGATTTAATGAACCTCTACAAGGTCACCCCTCAGCCAGGGAAAATAGCCCCAGCCTATTCAGCCTCTCCCTGTAGCTCAAGCTCTAATCCTGGCAACATCCTTGTAAATCATGTTCTGTTACATAGGATTGTCTCTTTTCTTTTTCTGGAGACCCTGGGTTTGACTCTCATCCGTGTCTATTGTTTCTAATCCTCATGGAAGAGCCTGGGATTTGTCCACTTTATTCTTCTGCCTTTATATTCTACATTTCAGGTTATTTTTCTGCGTTTTAAGATGGCACTGGAGAGTAGCGACACTTTACAACCACTTTTCACTGTATTTTGTAACAAGATGCACATGACAATGAATGAACCAAATAAAATTAACAGAGAATAGGGGCTAATGAGCTTTATTAATTTAAGCAACTGTAACATCAAGTGGTTGATGGAGAGAGAATGGATGTCTGTACTGGATGGGAATCTACACAGACACACGAAGGAGAATCAGTGAGATGAAGACGAGTGGGAGAAAGTGCTTGCAGACCGTACGTTTGGCTGTAGGACCAAATTGCTTGAGTCTGTGCTTCAATTCACTCCATTCACACAAATGTTCTCAGTCAGGTTGTCCGACGCTAGATATTTATCTAATCAGCCTGTTCAGATTCATTACTACACGCCTCTGGTGCAGGTGGGGCTTGAACTCAGGCCTCTTGGTGCAGAAGCAGGAATACTATCACAATGCCACAAGGACTCCAGGTTACTTGACACCAACCTACAATCTGCTGACAATTTGAAATAAATGTTGATTAAGGAGTACGAATTGATCCGTCTATTCTCAGGGAGCGGGTAAGGTTAACAACTAATCATGCTATTGAAAGAACAGGCAAATCTTGGGAGGTACCTGCTTCAAGCCAATAGCAGATATGTGGGTGTAAAAGCATCTTACTTTTCAAAATTATTTAAGTTAAAATCTTCAGTTCAGTCCAGCTTTGAAATTGCTTACTAAGCGGAAACCAAAACACACGTGATCAGGGTTTGCAGAGAGCAGCGAATGGGATCCAAATACTCAGAGTAAACTGTCATTACAGTTTTGCCACTCTGGGACAAGACGCAGTTCCACACGCTCGCATGCCGCATGTGCATGCTTCACCAAAGGAATTTTTGACACAATGCAGAAGCTGCCACATTGATGAGAAATGATCTCCTGAACATTGCAGGTAATTGATGTTTAAAGAGGCAGAATGCAAAAAAAAAGGACAAATCTTTCATATGGATAGAATCCGATTGGAAGAGCAGGTGCTATTTTTAACCGTGTCATATGGGAATGCTTTTATGTTTTATTGTCATTAATGTCATTGTGTTACAGATTTGCTGAGGTACAAGACAACAAGGTTTGTGACAACAGCTCTGCTATGATTATTCTTTCTTTCTGCTTTATTTTTCCGAATGGGCCTCTCCTTGTCTGTAGTAACAGGCTCACCTCTGAATCCTAACGTTGTTGGTTGAAGTTTCAAACCAGAGAAGGTTAAAAGAAGATTTGGTTTTTTTTGTTTTAACTTTATTCATGGGCAGTGGTTTTTGATGGTAAGATCAGTATTTTATGCCCGTCTCCAATTGCCATTAAAAATGTAGTGGTGAACTGCCACCTTGAACTGCTGCTATTCATCTTCTGCACGCATGTTCACAGTGCTGTGAGGAAGGGATTTCCAGGATTTTGATTTTGTAGCTGCGAAGGAATGGCGATGTGGTTCCAAATTAAGATAGTGTGTGACTTGGAAGTGGTGTTTTTCCTATTTGCCTGTTGCCCTTGTCATTTTGTAACAGAGGTTACAATTTTGGAGGTATTGTTAACTGAGCCTTGGGGAGTTGCTGCTGTGCACTTTATAAATGGTAGACTCACCTCCCCGGTACACTGGTGATTGAAGGATTTTAATGTTCTGAATGTAATGTATATCATACAGGACTGATGATTTCGAGCTTCCTGAGTGTTTTTGGAGCTGCATTTGTTCAGACAAGTGGAATGCATTCCATCACACTGCTAACTTTTGCCTATGCTTTGGGGAGGTGATTTACTTGGTACAGAATTACAACTGACCTACTGTTGTAGCTACAGTATTTTTATGACAGATTCTGCATATAGGTAAGTATTCTCCTTTACTTTGGAACGCGAAATATTCTGTGGGAAATACGATAAATCACACAAAGTCTTATTCTTGTGCTTTTGTTTCTGTCGAAAAGCAAAATACCAAAGATGCTGGCAACATAAAACAAAAACGGAAATGTGGAAAATACTTTGCAGGTTTGGTAGCTTCTGTTGAGAGAGAAAAAGGGTTAACATTTCAGATCTGTGACCTTTGAAAGATTGTCAACCTGAAACGCTAACTCTGTTTCTCCGCAATGCAGCCAGAACTGTTAAATAGTTCCAAAATTTTCTGTCTTTATATCTGAGTATTTCTGTTCCTGCTGTCTCCTGCCTATTGCAACACAGGAATGCTCTGAAATGTTACAATCCTAAAAAAAAGCTTTAGCATTAACAGATAAAGGAAACTAACACATTTATTAAGAGTTGGACTGACCAGCACAAATTGGCTGAGCTAGAATGCTTTGATTTCAACCCATTTGCCTAGCATGCAGTTAATATTATGGATGTGATTTGATTTGATTTATTATTGTCACATGTACTGAGATACATTGAAAAATGTTGTTTTGCGTGCTATCCAGACAAATCATACCTGACATAAGTACATCAGGGTAATAGAACAGAATGCAGAGTATACAGTTAAGCTATAGAGAAGGTGCAGAGAAAGATCACCTCTAAGATATGAGAGGTCTGTCCCATAAGTCTGATAACAGCGGGGAAGAAGCTGTTCTTAAATCTGTTGGTACATATTTTCAAACTTTTGTATCTTCTGCCTGATGGAAGAGGGTGGAAAAGAGTATAATCGAGAGGGAGGGGTCTTTGATTATGTTGGCTGCTTTCCTGAGGCAGTCGGAAGTGTAGACGGAATCAATGAAAGGAAAGCTGGTTTTCATGATGCCACCTCCACTCACCTCCCAACATCTTAACTAATATCAGACAAAGGCAGGCTTGGGTTTAATTGCAGTGCAAGATGCCTGTTGAATGGGCTGGACACTTTTCCAATTTTCCCTATTCTTTTTCTCTCCATACCTCTTAACACTTCACAAGCCGCCACACCATCACAGCCCTCAGCCTTTGTGAATCCCTTGCTTCCTGTATGCCCCTCAGTTCAGCTCTCTGCAGCCAGTGGAAGGCTGAGGTGGGCAAATGTAAGGGTAACGTCACTAAAGTCAGAGGTTCCTCACGAAACTCGAGACAGAACGCACTGCCTAGTTCTAACCTGGGAGTGTTTCCTGTTGTGGACGAATCTGGGATGAGGGGACACAGTTTAAAGGTAATGGGGCTCCCATTTAAAATGAACATGGAGAAGGTTTTTCTTCTTTCAAAGTGTCATAGTCTTTGGCATTCTCTTTCACAGCACGCAGTGGAGGCTGAGTCATTGAATTTGTTCAAGGCCGGGTTAGACAAATTTACCACCTCTATAAGGGAGTCAAGGAAAGTGGAGTTGAAGCTTCAGTTAGATCAGCCATGATCAACTGAATAGCACAGCAGGCATGAGTAACCGAACGGATTACTCCTACTCCTATTATGATCTTATAGTAACGTGACATTGCACATTCTCACCATTGTGTATAAGGTAATTCCTTTTAAAATTTATCTTGCACTTGCTGGTATCTTGCACTTATTCCACTTGCTCTGAATGAGTGTAACCAGTTTCTTGTAGGCCAGCTGTAGATAAATTTACCCACATTTACCATGGCCTGAACTATAAGTGAGCTAAAAGCTCTGAGGTCTAAGATGGCATTAAGACAGATGTGAAGCTTTGCCCTCCCTAAAAATGAGCAGGTAGGCACCAATTTCTATCCCAAAGTGTCCAAATACAGAATCACAGAATTGTCACAGGACAAGACAAGGCCATTCAGCCCAGCTCTCCAAATGAGCATCTCACTTCCTATAACCCTGCACATTCAGAGACCAGTCTAACTGCTTCAATTAACTCTACCTCCACCATGGGTTTCAGGCAGTGCATTCCAGATACTATCCACCTAGTGCTGGGGACCCAGTTCAATTCCAGCCTCAGGCAAATGTCTGTGTGGACTTTGCAAGTTCTTCCTGTGTCTGCATGGTTTATTGCTAGGTGGTCCAGTTTCCTCCTACCGTCCAAAGATGTGCAGGTCAGGTGTATTGGTCATGCTAAATTCCTTCTGTAGTGTCCAGGGATGTGTAGACTAGATGCATTAGCTATGGGAAATACAATGCTACAGGGATAGGGTGGGGGACTGGGTGGGATGCTTTTCAGAGAGTTGGTGCAGACTAAGTGGGCTGAATGGCCTCCTTCCCCTCCATAGGGATTCTGTGAGATGAAAAAACGAGGTCAGTGAAGTAGATTTAAGCATACTGGCTTAAAGGAGGGCAGAAATACTAAGGTTTAGGGAACCTTTTGAACCAGGCAGCTGATGGCAAAGCCGAACAGATGAAGATTAGGAATTCACAAGGGAGGGAAGTGGAGATCTCAGAGGACTGGAAAGCTGGAGGCTACCATTGAGATAGAGAGGAGAGAGGCTGCAGTAGGATGTGATCATGAGAAAAGGGATTTAATGACAAACACGACTTTCAGAAAGTTTTTAATATAACTTGGGACTGAAATGGTTAATGTCTAACCATAATGTCTAATGGTTAACTGGTAAACATGTGGAGTGACACACCTAAAAGCTAACTGGTTGAATCTGACAGTTCTATTGAAAATCCACAGAAAATTCGCACCACAGCGACAGACAATCCCTTCAGTCCAATTGTGTTTGTTTAAAATGCACTTTTAATGAGGCTTTTTTTTTGAGTGTGTTTTTCTTCTAGTGAGTCTATTTTTTTCTGTTTTTCTTTTGTCATACACAGAACCACTACTTCAGCTTTTCGGAATCGGACCTGCGAGGCGGGGGAAATATTTTGAGTGTGTTTGGCAATTTTGGTAGGCAGAAGCTAAAAGAGAGGAGTGCCTATTTCCTGGGCTCCTTAAGCTCTTTGCCCAGTGCCATCGCATCAAGGCGAGCCAGGGCATCCCGGGAGGAATTGGGACATTCTGAGGGCAACAAAAGACCAGGAGAGCGTAGTCCACGTAGTCAGGGTGGAGGGAGTGCCAAGGAGAGTAGGCAGTGTCAGAATCGAGTTTCAGAAGCTGAAAGGCCCAAGTCACACCCTGAAAGCAATCAGTGCCACAACATTCCTGATACCCAACAACAAACCAGTCCTGTAATTGTAACTGCTGCAGAGCAGAAACTCCCTGACTGGGCTGAGGATATTTTAAATACCTACTTAGATAAAGGGAAGGCAGGCAGTCACAAGTGCCCATTGCCTGTTAAACCCCAGTTCCAGGAATCCACAGTAAATCCTCCTGGTGTTGTTGCCAAGTCGGGCTCTGAGCAGAGTCTGTGGGATAGCTGTGAATTGCTGTCAGGGAAGAAGAAACAAGCCCGAGATCAAACAGCACCCGACAAAACTGCAAAGACCAAGTACAACATTATCATCACACTGACCAAAGAGGAAGGCTGTGGGGACGGAAAGGGGGAGAAGGATGCTGCAGGGCTAGTCCAACAGGAGACAGCTGTCCTAGAGAGCGTGCGACTGAACGAGCCCAAAATGACAGAGGAACGCCTACCAGATCAGAGCAGACCTGTCGTGCGGGTTCCCCATGCCCACACTGTGGAATGTCAGGGGAATGCGCCGGCTGCTCTAAACACTCCTCTCAGAATTAGTTACGACTCCGGCCTGGGATACAAAATAGGAGAACTCTCGCAACATCCCAGGGAACGCATCGCAACTTTTCAACCGCGTCTCACCCCGAGGGATACAGGTTACAGCCGCTTCCTCCAGAAACCCTACAACTTTCAGGCTGACAGGTAAGTGCCACACACACTCACTCTCACTCACTCACACATACACACACTCACACACACTCACAACACCCACACACTCAGTCTCACTCACTCACACACACACTTGCACACACACGCACAAACACACGTACATACACACAACACACACACACTCACTCACTCAGACACACACTTACTCATAACACACACACACACTCACACAACACATACACACTTACACAACACACAGACTCACACAACACACACTCACAACACACACACACTCACGCTCACACTCACAACACACACTCACACACTCTCGTGCACACACATGCTCCCACGCGCGCGCGCACGCGCGCGCACACACACAGTCAAACTGGAACAATAATCCTAGTTTTAAGGAGTATTTCATTTGGTTTTTCACTCCTGTAAATGTTTTATACTGCCTTTTGTTAAAAGCCAGAGGTTTGTAGAGGTATTAATGATATAGCCATTGCTGTTATCTATCATTTTGATTACTAGTACTGGATTATTTTTAAATTTACATGAGATACAGGGACTGAGGAAGTGTCAGCACTGTGATTATAATAAACTGTCAACAAGATACAAGCCAAGAAAAGCAAAATACTGCAGATACGGAAAAATCCACCTGCTGCACTGTCAGAGAGGAGAAAACAATAGTCAAATTTTGCAATGAATGTACTGGTCATACAGGAGCACTGTTCTGACGTATACAAAACAAGTTGGACCAGTCTGCTTCAAGTGCACTGTTTTACAGGTTTTTCCTTCAGGGGCAGCTCCCAGAGAAGCTTGAAACAAAAATAGAAACTGCTGGAGAAGTTCAGCAGGTCTGACAGCATCTGTGGAGAGAAAGCAGATTTGATGTTTCAGGTCCTGGAACCCTTCTTCAGGACTCAAGATGTTAACTCTGCTTTCTATCCACAGACCTGCTGAGTTTCTCCAGCCATTTCTGTTTTTGATAGCATGTGCTGTTCTCTGATCTATTTTGTGTAAGTGTGAATGAGTTTGAATGGCTATTGCCTGTCAGGAGCTGAGAGTCACTGTGCAAGGCCAAGGAGGGTCTGAGGGTCTGAGGAAGGACAAAGGGTCTGTGTACGAAATAACCAAGGGACTGTTGAAAGCGAAACTGTTTTGTACTTTTGATTAAAGTTGTCTAGTTTAATTCCACACTGCAGCTTTACACACAGAGTGACGTTATGGTTCCTAGTTCCCATCCATCAGCATCCTTGTTTCTATTCAGAAAAGGTTGTCTAGGTTCTTTCAATGTTAATAAAAAGGATCATTTTGAGGCATTGTGCCTACCTTGATTGCATTCTGAAGCTCTTTGGCAAAACATGTCTTAAAAACAAATGTACATCTTTTGTTTCTTTAGCAAAATAAATCTTCAGACGTTGACGAGCTTGCCGAGGTCTCTCCAGCAAGCACAAGGCTTAGAAAGTTGCCAAGAGAGCACAAACAAATTGGTAGGTGAGAACAGTGGTTCAAAAAGCATCAGCAACCAAATTGGAACGGAACCTACTGAGACCCTCTCTGTACATGTGCCTTCTGAAATTGTAGGGGGTCCTGATTCTTCACAAATTTCAAGCAGTGCAATGCAACACCAGATTGATGCAGGGCTTAGTGACACCAAGAAAGCAATTTCAGGACTGTCCGATAGCTCCTTGCAACTGAGCACAGCAGATTCAAAGCACACTGATTCTCAAAAGCCCACTGCACAGGGAGACAATGTTGTGACTGGAAGTGATCTCCCTCTGCCAGGCAATCCAACACATAGTAGCAATACAATAAACAGTGACAGCCATAGCCCCGTGAATTCAGCAAAGTATGGGGGTAGAAATGGAAGTGTTTCAGCTCAGCATTCCAGCAACGAGTCTCATTTTGGTCAAGGCAATGTATTACAGACTGTGAAATCCTCTGGACATACTGTCGACTCTCAGAGCCCTGATCACAAGAGTCTTGTTTCTAAACCACTTCACGCTCCAACCAGTGAGGAAAGGACACCTATAAATTTGAAATTGGATCAGCTTCCTGGGCCACAGCTGGTTAAAATTACTTCCATAAGTCCTGAAATTGAGTCACTTCAAAATTCTATAAAATACACTGTGGATTCCTTCAAGACAGACATCACTGAAAAGCCTGTTCTCCAATCCAAAGGTACCCTTGTTAAAGATCCTGCAGAAAACTCGAAAGAGGCTGGAAGCTCCATAATACTTGATCACGGGTCTCAAGCACTGGCACACAAGTTCACATCCATGAAGGCCGGACAAGAGAACAGTGTTGAACAACTCCAAAATTCTAGAAGCCACTTTCTAGAAAATGAGCTGTCTTCCAATGATGTCTTCATTCCAAATCAAAGAGAGAAATGGTCCACCGATGTCTCAGATGACACTGATAGTTTATCAGAAATAGATGGGTTTGTAGACACCATTCGGAACTTGGAATCCCCCATGCTCTTGAGCCGTAACAAAAGTCCTAGAAACCAGAGGGCACATTCCATCTCTTCTTCTTTTTCTACATTGCCTCCAATAGAAGAGGATCAAACCAATCCAAAGAATTCCCTATCTTCTTCATCGGACACTGAGAAACCACAGCAGCTGGCAGATACTATCAATGGAAAAGTTTTGCCAATGCTGCCCTCACAACCTGTTTCACCAGCCCCTCAAATTGATTTCTCAAAGACTCTAAAAAAGGAAATTCTCACCCCCATGGAGATGGTGAAGATGCAGCTCGAGGATAAGCCCAGAATTGGTACCCGACATGCTTCATCAGACAACAACATTATCTTCCAATCAGGTCTTCTAGGAAAGACCAACCTGGAATGCAATGCAGATTCAAAAAACAAAGAACTCTTTGGTGCAGAAAGCAGGTGGTCTCGGCTGAGCAACAGCTTATTGTACTACAATGCTAAGAAGCCAATAGAGCCTTACTCTAGCAGATCATTGGACCTGAATTCAACAAGTGCAAATCCAATAAGTCTCTCGACCAAATCTCCAAATCACATGCAAAGAAGTTTGTCACATGAAGATGTCAGCACAACAATAAAGACCCCTGACCAGCTCCCCAAAACAACATTTCTTGCTAGTACATTTGAAGGCAATTTGAAGGACACTCAAAGGCCCAGTCTACTGACCAGCATTTCTGAAAGGCTGATACCTGGATACTCCAGGCTGATAGACACTAACAAGAATCTTCAGTCCCACAGAACATCTTTACCTTCTGATTTACGCCAGCGCTCTGTTACCAATGAAACTCCAAGAAAATTCACCGCCTTTCCAGATGTATGGGTGAGTGAGAAGTTTCACCTCATCCTCTCTTTTACTGATAATTCCCATTCCTGATCAATATACAGGGATTCCAAGTGATTTTGTAACATCTAACTATTGCCAATCCTAACCTGCCTTTGTCCTCTACCATCCACTTTCACACTTGTGGTGCCCTTTATTTTGGTAAATTCAGTCATCTTTGCTGGTTTTTCTACTCTCATGTTCAAATTATGTCTGATTGGAGAATTAAATTCTGACACAAACTCTTGGACATACCAACTCTGAAACAACCACTTACTCAAATGCTTTGGTACTCCCTGAGGGTTTGAGATGTAAGGATAGTCTGGATAGGCTGGGATATTTTTCACCGGAGCATAGGAGATTGCAGGGTTATCTTATAGAGGTTTATAAAATCACGAGGAGCATAGATAAGATGAAGAGCAAAGGTCTTTTCCCCAGGGTTTTTTCTCTGGGAAAGGAACCAAAGTCTAACGTTGAGGAATGAAATCATCCTAAATCACAGTTGTTTTCACTATAGTGCCATAGTCACAGAATCATAGAGTTATAGAACATGGAAACAGACCCTTCGGTCCAACTCATCCATGCTGACCAAGTTTCCCTAACTAAACTAGTTCCACTTGCCTGCATTTGGCCTATGTCCTTCTAAGCCTTTCCTACTCATGTACCTGTTCAAATATATTTTAAATGTTGTAACTGTGCCTGCATCCATCACTTCCTCTGGTAGTTCATTCGACACATGTGAGAAAATGCCCCTCAGGTCCCTTATAATGTTGCTCCTCTCACCTTAAAAATATGCCTTCTAGTTTTGAATTGTCCTACCCTGGGGAAAAGACCTTTGCTGTTCATCTTATCTATGTTCTTGTGATTTTATAAACCTCTATAACATAACCCCTCAATCTCGTATGCTCCGGTGAAAGAAGTCCCAACCAATCCAGGCTATCCTTATAACTCAAACCCTCCAATCCTGGCAGCATCATGGTAAATCTCTTTTGAACCTTCTCCAATTTAATAATATCCTTTCCCATAGCAGGGTGACCAGAACTGTACATATTACTTCAAAAGTGGCCTCCTGTACAACCTCAACATGACTTTTTTCAAACCCACTCTCAAGAGACCCGTCCCTCCTTCATCCCCAAAATAGGAATGCACGTATGAGATGGATTCCAATCAAACTGTGCACTGGAGTGTTGATTATGTTTGAATTTCTAGCATTAATTTAATTTATTCTTAAACCAGGATGAAAAGTTCTGGAATGTCTAAATTGGCTTCTTTTTTTAACAGTGCATGTATGTGGAATGAAAACAATTCACTTTGAATATTTTAGATTGTGACATAAAGTTTTTCTTGCCTCTGGGAAGTTTCACCCACACTGACAATCCATTGATAAGATGAATACTAACTGGGCAACTGCTCTTATATTTTGCCCTTGTGTTGCTACCTAGCTCGAGCCAGTTGAAAGAGCTGTGTTGGGAAGTGTCTAGGGGTATACCCTCCTTCTAACAAGAAACAAAGCCGAACACATCAGGTTGCCAACTTTAATTGAAAATATTCCTGCAAGTTTCACCTCGTGCCCTCCTGTTGCCAATTACCCCACCCTTGTGCTCCTATTATTGGTCACCTGAGACATCTATTCCTTGCAGCGTCCTGTCTTCTCCCATTCCCCATAAATTGGGAAGTGAATGAACTCTTTCTTTACCCAGTTGGATGACTGTCAACTTCATTCAAACAGCTTATAGTCCCCACCTCCAATATTTGTCTAACTAATAAGTGAAAGTCTTCAAAGAATTTGAGGAACAGAATTGCATAATTTTAACAGCTGATGTTGCTTTAGCTTCTATGTCTTGGAGATTGCCATACAGCACAGAAACAACTCACCCGTGCTGACTAAGTTTCCCAAACTAAAGTAGTCCCATTTGCCTGCATTTGGCCAAAATCCCTCTAAACCTTTCCTTTTCCTGTACCTGTCCAAATGTCTTTTTAAATGCATCTACCACTTCCACTGGCAATTCATTCCACATAGGAACCACCCTCAGTATGAAAACGTTGCCCCTCATGATCCTTTTAAATCTTTCTCCTCTCACCTTAAAAATACACCACTTGTTTTGAACTCCCCCACCCTAAGGAAAAGACCTTTGCTGTTTACCTTATCTATGCCCCTCATAATTTTATAAACCTCTAGGAGGTCACCCCTTAATCTCCTACACTCCAGTGAAAAAAGACCCAGCCAATTCAGCCTCTCCTAATAATTCCAATCCTTTTTTTCTTGGCAACATCATAATAAATCTTTTCTGAACCCTTTCCAATTGAATAATATCCTTCCTATAGCAGGGCATCCAGAACTGTATACAGAACCGCAAAAGTGGCCTCATCAGCACTCTGTACAACCTTAACATGATGTCCCAACTCCCATAATCAGTGGTCTGAGTAATGAAGGCAAGTGTACTAAATGTCTTCTAACTGTGATGCAACTTTCAAAGAACTGTGTACCTGAACAGTAGGTCTCTGTTTAACAACACTACCTAAGTCGCTACCATTAACTGTATAAGTCCTGCCCTTGTTCACTTTACTAAAATGCAATACCTTGCATTTATCCAAATCAAACTCCATCTGCCACTCCTTAGCCCATTGGGCCAATTTATCAAGATCCTTTTGTAATCTTAGATAACCTTCTTCACTATCAACTATAACACCAATTTTGGTGTCATTCACAAACTTACTAACCATGTATCCAAAATTCTCATCCAAATTGTTTATATAAAAGACACACAATAGTGGACCAGCACCAGCCCCTGGAGAACACTGTCGGTCACAGGCCTCCAGTCGAATAAACAACCCTCCACCACCACCTTCTGACTCGTACTGTCAAGCCAATTTTGCAGCCAATTGGCAAGCTCTCCCTGTATTCCATGTGATCTAACTTTACTAATTAATCTACCATGCAGAAGCTTGTCAAAGGCTTTACTAAAATCCATGTAGACAACATCTACCACTCTGCCCTCATCTATCCTTTTGGTTATGTCCTCAAAAAACTCAATCAAGTTTGTAAAACATGATTTCTCATGCACAAAGCCATGCTGACTATTTCTATATTCTCTTCCACCAGCTTCCATTGGACAGAAGATATAAAAGTTTGAAAAACGTACCAACATAATTAAGAATAACTTATTTTCTGCTGTTATGAGACATATATTAGAGTTAGGGTTAGGGTTAGGGTTAGTATATATTAGAGTTGATCTTTCTTTACACCTTCTCCTTAGCTGTAACACAATATTCTATTTCTCTGTTGTACTTACATCAGGTATGATTTGTTTGGACAGCATACAAAACAATACTTTTCACTGTATCTCAATACATGTCACAATAATAAATCAAATTAACTGGTAGGAATGAATCAGTTAGGGTTTCCTTTGCTATTCTTTCACCTCTGTTGGAAACCTCTGTGGGCACTAGGTGAGAAGAGATTTTAGCCTTGGTAGTGATGCCATCCACAATCAACTAGCCTTTCAATGCTCATTTTCTGTGTTCAAAGAAAGAGTGCGTACATAGATGAGATAGTGAGGTTGACCTATTCCTGTGACACTTATATCGCAGCTGGAGTTACCATCTCGTAAAATAGGAGCAAGAGTAGGCCATTTAGCTCTAGGTTGGCTCCGTCACTCAATATTATCATGGCTGATCATCCAAATCAGTATCCTGTTCCCGCTTTCTCCCCATACCATTTGATCCCTTTAGCCCTAAGAACTATAACTAATTCTTTCTTGACAACTTTCAAAGTTTTGACCTTAAACACTTTCTGTGGCAGAGAATTCCACAGACTCACTGCTCTCTGGGTGAAGAACTTCCTCCTCATCTCAGTCCTTCATGGCCTGATATCCTTACACTGTGATTCCTGGTTCTGGAACCCATGGTCTCACCGAGTAAAGGGAATGTTTGTATTTTTGAGACTCAGTGAAGGCTTGGGACATTGTGGTCCATCTTGTCACAATAAAATGAGAGAGATAAAACACACACGCAGAAAGTGCATAAATTTTTTCCTTTTATAACAAATTTCCTCAAGATGATGCTACGTGATTCTTCTGCTCATCCATGAGCATTTTGCTGAAAGTTTATTGAAAACAATATGATTTTAAGAAGTTACCCTCCTCCCTCCGGACAAACCTCAAGGGATGTCTCCC